TCCAGAACCTGTCCTGTCAGCCTTAAACCGCCGCTCCCTGAAAGCCGGTTTTCGGGGGGAATCAGAGGGTGCCAGGGATATATCAGGAATACCCAATAAATGCCTTAAGACAAACTCACACAGACACGCTCAAACTAGCCTGTTTCTGTCCTGTTCTTCTCACTTATGTCCGCTTTTTTCCTACATTTGCTCTCTCTTCTCTTCCCTTCCCTGAACAAGCCGGAGATCTCTGCCCTGGCTTCCTGGAATGCCAGACGCTCACCAGTAGGTGTCTCTCTGCTGTACCCCTACTCCCTCTCTTATCTCTCCCTTCTCAACAACCTCCTTCTCCCACTCTTTCTTTCTTTCTTTCTCTCATTTTTCCCGTTTTCTTTTTTCCTCATTCTTTACCCATTTCTTCTATTTTCTCCCTCTTCTCCTCTTCCCATGCCCCCCCCCCGTCTCTTATTTGTGGCTCCTCATCGTCTCCATTTCCTCATTTACCACTTTTCCCCCCCTTTTTCTCTCCCTATTCTCTTTCTTCCCCCTTCATTTCCCTCATTTTTTTTTTCCTCTGGCTTCTCTCACTCCAGCAGTCACTCTTTCTTTTCAGTTTTGCCCCTTTCTCCTCATTTCACTTATTCTCCCCCCACCTCCCTTTTCCAATTTTTTTTCTCCACCCCTCTTCTCTGGTCCCCACCTGACCCTTTAGGTGATCTTGGTCTTTACCCTTTCAAGAGATTCCTGTGCCTCAGAGGCACCAGAGGAAAGGAGCAATGAGCCCTAAAACTGAGGGCTGAGAAGTTCTTGGCCTTGAGGAAAGGGTGATTCTCTAGAGCTGAGGTAGGGTGACTGGGTAGATCTGAGGAAAGCAGGGTATATTAATGCCCTGGGTCAAACCTCAGGTTTGTGGAATGTAGGGGAAGTGTTGAGTGGGCAAGTGGTAGGCTGCCAGACTGTCCCTATACTTGGAGAGTTGGTATATTTTGAATGTGCAGAATTAAGTAATTATAGGTTCTTTTAAAAGATTAAATATCAATTATGTTCCGTTTTCACACAAAACTTTGGTTGTAGTTAGCACTGCCCCCCCTCCTTTAGCTAGCTATATTCACCAGTCCAAGCCACTAGAGCAGTACTGCCATCTTGTGGTCAAGGCATCGAGCATTGCCTGACTGAGTTACAGAGTTTAGATCCTTGGGAGACACCAAGTGGAATTCTAATTGCATTGTTTCTGCGAGTAGGAAGAAAGAGAGCTCTGTGGCCAAGCTGTAAGCCTGGATAACAGTCAGTACCAGAGCTATCCTCTTTCTAATGGAGCTCCATTTGCCTGAGACACTGTAGATTGGGCTTCCATAGATATGAAATTGAGGAGTGGTGGTGGCACAATGGTTAAATTGCTTTGCTGCTAACTGAAAGGTTCAAACACACCAGTTACTCTCCAGGAGAAAGATGTGGTAGTCTGTTTCTGTCAAGATTCACAGCCTTGGAAACCCTATGGGGCAGTTCTACTCTGTCCTATAGGGTCACTATGATTTGGAACCGACTCAAGAGCAGTGAGTTTGGGTGCCTTGAAAGTGAAAGTGCTCAGTTGCTAAGCAAAAGATCAGTAGTTTGAACCCACCAGGTAACTCTGCAGAAAAGACCTGGCAATATTCTTCCATAAAGATTGCAGTCTAGGAAAACCTATGGGGGCAGTTCTACTCTGTCATATATGGTCACTATGCACACAACAACAGGTATAAAATTTCCTCCAGGTGCCACAAGTATCAGCCCTGCTGATTAGGAGCTAGGGTGACAGCTAATTTCTGTTCTCAGGGCCCTGTGGGTCTCATACGGGGCCTCACAAATCGCAGAAATGGAAGCGGCAGTACTCTGCTGCAGTGGACAGAAAACCAGAAATAACCTATATCCCTAGCTGTTGACAGGATCCCAAGATTAGAGATGAAAGGCTTTTGTGATCACTGACCAGACAAGCAGAACTGAGAGTATGGCCCCTGTGTCTTCACCAGACTGCTGAGCAGTCTCTATTTGTGCCATCAAACTCCAGTCCTGTAGAGCAGTCGATTTCTTTCTTTTTTTCTTGGTCTTCTGTCTCCTCCTCTTCCTTCTTCTTCATTGTCTTAAGTAAAAGCCCGGCGATATAGTGGAATATGAAATTTCATATGCATTGTGTAGACTTCTATCCTACTGAATTGTTTTTTAATTATTTTATTGTTGTGTTATTGTTAGGTGCCACCAAGTCGGCTCCGACTCATAACGACCCTGTGTACAACAGAACGAAACACTGCCCGGTCCTGTGCCAGCCTCACAATCTTTGCTGTACCTGAGCCCATTGTTGCAGCCACTGTGTCAATCCATCTTGTTGAGGGCCTTCCCTTTTTTATTTGACCCTCCACTTTTGAATTCTAGTATTTATAATTTTCCTCTTGCTTAAAATTATTTTATGCTAAACGTAATGATAGGAGCTCTGGTAGTGTAGTGCCTAAGGCACTTGACTGCTAACCTGAAGGCTGGTGGTTCAAACCCACCAGCCACTCCTCATAAGGAAGGTTGGGCGATGTACTTCCATAGTGATACCGCTTCGGAAACCCAAGGAGGGGTCTCTAGGAGTCGGGTCTGACTCGAAGGCACGTAACAACAATAACAACAAATGTAATGATAGCAAAATATGTTCGATTCATAGATGTTTCAGTTGTCTTTGGAGAACTGCTGGTACCTTTTGCTTCCATACTTGCCTAGATCCTCTATCTTTGTGTATAACCTTGGGACGGGGCCCTTGGTTGCAGCATTCCCTTCTTGGCATTTGGCACTATTAAACTCAAGATTTTGTCCCTTTGACATTTCTCTTGTTGTAGTCCTTGCTCTCAAGTAGTGTTGTTAATAATTCAGTACAGCTTTGCATACAATATCCAGGCTGATCAAGAGCAAATATAATTTAGATATAGAAAAATCTAGATAGTTCGGAGACAGAGTTCAGAAAGTTGACTGATATTTGCATACAAGTCCAGCTTGTATTGACACATAGCATACCTCTGCAGAAAGGCTGATGGGCAGGGCCTCTATGGCCCTGCTTCGCTGACATATATTGTGTTGGATGGAGAGACTCCAAGTAGCAAAACGTTCCTGCATAAACCCCGAGAGCAGAAGGAGGCCCTACTTCCAGACAGAGCTGGTGTCTTTCTGGGTGGACAGAAAGGGGATGTAAGGAGGGCCTGATTCTCAGAGGGAGTCATTCCCTTCTTTACATTTATCCGGTGCCAGGCATGGTGCTAGTGGGAATTCAGAGGAAAATAAGACAAAACCCAAGCCCCCAAAGAAGTCATGGCCTAGTTGGAGAGACAGATATGTAAAGAGACAAAGACAGTACAAGTGGTAAGTGAAGATAGAGGCCTGTTGTATGTGTATGTGCACATACACATTTTCACACTGACACATGTTGCCGCAACATGGAGGGGGTTAGCTTTGGAAAGAGGGAAGGGAAATGTGGGTAGAGAGAATAGAGGCCAGGGTGTTAGAGTACAAAACTGTTCTTTGCTAGTGGAGAATAAAATGTAAGAGATGGAGTGGTGAGAGTTGAGGCTGGAAAGGGACTTGGGGACCATGTTTCAGAGGACCTTATGTGAAACAATAAGGAAATATCCCTACTTCACAAGTTTGCCATGTATTAGCAATTATTAAGAAAAAGAAGAATACACACCATTTATGGAGTCCCTGCTATGTGCCAGGGATTTTACATACATTATCTCATTTAATCCCCACAATAACCCTGTTGTTGTTATTGTTATGTGCCGTCGAGTCGGCCCCGACTCATAGTGACAGGAAGTAGGTATTATGGTTCCCGTGATGGAATGGCCTTGAAACAGTTAAAGCTGCTCTCAGGGTTACATAAATAGCAAGTGGTAGAGGCCAAATTTGAACCCACAACTTTCTAACTTCAAGCTCGTACCTTTAATCACTGGGTAAACTTTTTGTAATGGATTTATTAAACATTTACAAAGCATATCATCTACTTCCAGAAGATTGTACACTCAAAAAAGCCATGTGCAATCGATGATTTACTAATATATTTAAAGACCTTATTTGTACAGTGGACTATCAACAAGGAAATTGATAAATCTGATATAATATTCAGTTGTTAGTTCAGTTATTATAAGAACTGATTTTTTTCTCTAAATTTTATTTATTTTGTTGTTGTTGAGAATATACAGAGCAGAACACACACCAATTCAACAATTTCTTCATGTACAATTCAGTAACATTGATTACATCCTTTGAGTTGTGCAACCATTCTCACCCTCCTTTACTGAGTTGTTCCTCCCTCAGTGACGTAAACTCATGGCCTCCTAAGGTTCCTACCTAACTTTCCAAGTTGCTGTTGTCAATTTAATCCCATATAGAAAGTTCTTAAAAGAGCCTAATGTTCAAGGCAGACCTTTTTTGTTACTAGTTTACTTAAACCATTGTTTGGTTTTAAGAAGATTAATAACTGAATTTTTGATTACTTA